TATAGGAAGAGTGCTAGCAATGGGTCAGGAGGAGGCGGTAGCGGATCCCACAGTAGTCATGGGTACGTTCCTTCTCGATAACTCTTATGCATGCATACTCTTTGATAGTGGTGCAGAGAGTTTCGTCAGCCATAAATTTAAACACTTACTCAAACACAAACCACAAACACTAAACGAAACATTCATTGTCGAGATGGCTAATGGGAAGAAAGAGAGCACTAACGACATATGCATAGGCTGTACCCTCGCTCTAAACGACTATTCTTTCCCAATCGACCTTATGCCGGTCTCCATAAAAAGCTTCGATGTCATCATCGGCATGGACTGGTTAAGTCCTCACCGTGCTGATATTCTATGCTACGAAAAAGCCATTCGCCTCAATCTACCAAATGACGAATCCCTCGTTATCTACGGAGACAAGCCCAGTACGAACCTTCGCATCATCTCTTGCATCAAAGCCCAAAAATACATGCGAAATGAGTGTCGCACATTCCTATCTCATGTAGTCAACGAAAAACAAGAAGTAAAAGACCTCAAGAGTTTCCCGAAGTCTGTCATTTTCCTGACATATTTCCCGAAGATCTTCTAGGAGTTCCTCCTGAACGCCAAGTCGAGTTCCGAATCGACTTGATTCCTGGAGCTACCCCCGTAGCCAATTTCCGTACTTTTGTCTAGGAAATCTCTGTAAGTTAAATTACACTCATCCTTATTTCAGTGTAATTTATATTTTATAAGTCATAGTCATTATTGTGAACCTATAAATAAGATTTATAAGTAATTTCATGTCGTTATACTGATTGATCTACTTACGGGAGAGGTGTCTAGAATGGTCACGTTGGCTTGGTTGTTGGATTTTAGAAAAACTATATGCCGAAATGATCTTGCCTCCCAACTGTCCTACCTGACTGATCCTTACTTGATAGATCTTGATGTAGACATTGGGATTAGTGAGGAATCCAGACTATAATTATTATGGTCACCAAGATTACGAAACTAGACTAATACTTAATACTTTATGCGTCTAGTAAATCTTTTTCTTTTCGAAGTACGACGTGAAGCGTTGTCGAAATTGTCAGTTACTTTTATCAAATGAGTGCATAGTCCCTTTTATGAACATGATTTTAATACAAGTATTAATTAAAGTATTAAATGTATGTTAAAGAGTTTGCATGTGAGCTATATGGTTATTACCTAGAATATGTGTTAAGAACATATTTGATAAGATATGATATGCGAACGAAGTACGGTTCTATATGCGTTAAGATATACATATTATTTCATGATAATTATAATATAAGTATTAGGAGTAGAGAATCATAGTCTTACCAGAGATAAAACAAGACTAACACAAAAGACCTAAGTTAAATATTTGGTAATATCTCCTTAAGAATACATGTGAGATATACACGGAGAGTAGAACTCTAACATTCGTCCCTAGTCTGAGAGTATGGATATAGTCATTTGCCACTGATACGAGAGTATGGATTAGACATAATCATTTGTCCATGATCCAACCATGATCCGAGAGTAAGGATTATGCATAATCATTTGTCCTTGGTCCGAGAGTATGGACTAGACATAGTCATTCATTCATGATCTGAGAGTACGGATTAGACATAGTTATTTATTCCCGATCCGAGAGCATGAATTAGGTAAAACCATTAATTTCGGAATCCGAGAGTATGGATTATGTGAGGATCGATAGGATGGGGTAGATTGCTTATAAGTGAGATATTTTTATATTGCGAGTTTTGATATATATATATATATATATATATATATATATATATATATATATATATATATATATATATATATATATTATATATATATATATATATATTGTGTGTGTGTGTGTGTGTGTGTATGTGTGTATATGTGTGTGTATATATATATATATATATATATATATATATATATGTGTGTGTGTGTGTGTGTGTATGTGTGTATGTGTGTATCTGTGTGTGTATCTATATATCTATATCTATATCTATATATCTCTATCTATCTATCTATATATCTCTATATATCTCTACATTGTAGGCTGAACTCCCTATGTACTCACCAGGTTCTCCAACCTGACCCACTCAGCTTTCTTGTATCATAGGTAGCGATACAAAGGTATATGCACAATGAGAGATTGAAGGAGATGTAGACAATTAGAATATTGAGACATTGTAAATCTCCATTTATGCTTATGTTTTGTATCAGTTATGACCTTCCGAGCTTTAAAAATATAAACAAAAAAAATTCGAAAATGCTTTGATAATATCACTATCATGTTTTTTGGACAAATTTCGCATAATTAATATTTTTAAAATAATACTTTGATTTAATAAGCATAAACAAATCAGTCTTTTTTGGCCGAAAAATAATGACGTCACAAAGGCTTTGATACTCATAATGTCGTAAGGTTTTTAATAGAAGAGAATCATCGTAGGTCATTGTGAGTGAGAAGGAGACATGAGTACATTGGGAAGAAGAGAAAGAGAAAGAGATTGACGAAAAAGATAGAGGACGCACATAAAAGGTGCCAAGTTTAGAATTAAAGTTTTAGCTCTTATACCGTGATCATGGTAATCGAGTTTGAGAGCTTACCGAAACTTGACTAGTGATTTAGAAAAAAAAAAACAATTTTGGATATATTTTCCAGAATGTGATATTTGGAGCTTGTTAACACTCAGTAAAATATTTAAATTAATCATGTGAAATAATTTACATCTAGGATAAGACGCTTAAACCAAGATGCAATGAAAATATAGTCAAAAAAGATTTATCAAATTTTAGTTTATTTTAATATATAGAAAAAAGTATACCGTTTTGAAGACATGCATGAAAGGCGGCCTAATATGAGTGTGTTTGACAAAATTAATTGGAAGTCGGTAGCCGGTAGCCGATAGCTAAAAGTTGGAAACTATAACATATATATATATATATATATATATATATATATATATATATATATATATATATATTATAAAACATATTAGTCATATCTTGAATTTTAAGAGGTATAAGATACAAAGTTTTTTGTACAAAACATTTATGCATAAATAAATTATTAATACTTGCCAAAAGTTTGAAAACTTGAATTAAGAAAGGTTAATAAGAAATTTAATTTGAAGCAAAATAAAAATTTTAAAATATTAAATTCATGTATATAAATTAATTTATATTTCTTATACCAGACACCGATATAATCTAATTTACATCAAATGTATAAGCATGCAATATAAATATAAGATCTAAATATATATATTTTATTTAAAAGTAGTAATTTCTATTACATAATAACAAATAATAAAATCTAATAATTATTTTTTTGTAAGAAACTATTCACCAAAAGAGTTATTTATCACCGCCGCTTTGCGCGGGCACACATCTAGTATATATATATATATATATATATATATATATATATATATATATATATATATATATATATATATATATATATATATATATATATATATATATATATATGTGTGTGTGTGTGTGTGTGTGTGTGTGTTTATTTGGGCAATAGTAGCTATAAGCTTTTCATATGTATATAAAATTACATAAAATGATATCTGTTTAAACATATAAATATGTAAATAGTTTTTTAAAGGTAATCCTGTAAATTTGTTATAATATGTAAAAGCTTTTTGTTAAACATTACTTGAAGTAACTTTTAGATTAAGAGTTTTTTTGAATAAAATAAAAAGCTTAAAACTCTTGCTCCCAAACGATTTTTTTTCCGAGTTTTTTCTTTAAAGCTATAACATCTGAAAAGTTTTTGTGTCGAACATGTACATAGTGCGTATTATTTACACATTTTTCTTATATTAATTTGATATACATAAAACATACGAAAAACAAATAAATAATTACAAATTGTTAAGGTTCGTGTTTAATACAATATGGTTGGTTAGGAGGTGTATTTATAAACCATCCTTGTAATCTTGGATCCGCTTTCAAGATTTCTTCGGAAGTTAACAATTAAACATGAATTAAATACCGACCTTCTAACCGAGGAGGGCTCGTACACAAGTTCAATGAACAAAAATTATTTTGGTCTACATTTGCACCCTCTTTCACACACAAGAAAGAGTCTTGCTTCCATAAGTCTTATAAGGCTTAAAAGTTTTTATACTTTCAAACTTGCTTTCCTTACTTGTCTATCTATGTGGATAGCTAAAAACTACCAAATGATCATTGGTCTAGTGGTAATAAGTGACTTTTCCAAATGAAATGTCATAGGTTCAAGTCTCTTAAGAGTATGTTAGTTAGTCTGTCGTTTCAAAAAAGAGCTAAAAACTCATTTAACATCTTTTCCTAATTATTCAAACTACCTCAGATTAACATTTATTTCTCATTCATCTTAATTCTGATTTAAATATATAATATATCAAAACGAAAGTATCACGAAAGAAAACACATACATATAACCATTTTTCCATTTTAATAATGATTATATTTGAAATTCGTATTAAAAATAGAAAAAACCATTTTTGAAAATTCAAAAATGGAAAAAACCAAAATTTTCAACATTTACTACTCCAACAGCTAAATTATCCATATCATAGTTAATGTTCATTTGAGGGAAATTGTCATAAAAGCCCTTAAGTTTTCCAAAACATGTCGGTTTTACCCTTGGATGAGTTTTTGGGGTATTAAAGCCGGATACTTTCACTAAATGTATCAAATATCTCATTTAACAGGTTGGACCCTTAGTAGCCGGTTACCCATGTGCTGATTTGGCACTTAATTGAGGAGTTGGCACGGACGTTACGTCCGTTTACCCATCACCTTATCTCATCCTTTTGCACGTAAACGTATACTTTATCAGAAAATCGACATCATTCATCGCAAAATTAGGGCTTTTTGAAGAAGATTAGGTTATTGGAGAGTCGATTTCACAGGGTATGTGTAATTTCTTTGAAGATTGTGTTATTACAGTTCTTTGTTCTTCAGAGGTTAACGAATAACGATAATGTGTGTTTTTTCAGGTTGTTATGATGGATTGGGATTCAGAAGACGAAGGCAACACATACCCATTTTTTGGTTTACGCGAGCCTTTCTCTGGTCTTAATGAGATGGATTTTGAGCTTCATGGCATCTACATGGATCATGAACCAGACGAAGAGTTCATTACTCCACTGGACAAGTGCAAGGATGCATTTCTTAATGTGTTACTAACTGATGAAAATATTAGAAACTCTAGTTTGACTAATGATGTAAGAGCACAAGTGTATCATGGTGGTGACTTACAAAGTGATGAAGATGAAGAAGAGCAAGAACAGGTGATAAACAAGTACAAAATACATGATCTAAAAACAAGATGGGACAAAATGGAACCAAAACTTGGTGACATTTTTGAGAATGTTACACAGCTGAAATTTTGTATCCAAAACTACGCAGTCCACAATGGGTATCAGCTCTACTTTGAGAAATGTGACAGTACAAGAATACTTGTAAGATGTGGGAAAAGAAATGAGGATAATGGTTGCCCTTTCAGACTGTATGTCTCATGGATGTTCAATGAAAGATATATTCAAATCAAGACTTTAGAAGCTACTCAATTTTGTGGTAGAAAGTTCAAACTTGGCTCTATGGTTACTCCCGAATGGATAGGTAGACACTACATAACTGAAATTGCAAATAAACCTAAGGTGAAGCTTAAAGAGATGATTACTGACATCAGACAAAGGTTTAGGTGTGTTGTGTCTATAGGCCAATGTCGTAGGGCCAAGAGGTGGGCCAATTAGCTAATTGAAGGTAAATTTACTGAACATTATGCCAGAATATGGGATTATGCACAAGAGTTGTTAAGATCCAATCCAGGCTCTACATGTAAGGTGTGTGTAACTGTCAATCCAGATGGGACAAACTCTTTTCATAGGTTTTATATTGGTTTCAAAGCTATATGTGAAGGCTGGAAAAGAGGGTGTAGAAGAGTTATTGGTTTGGATGGGTGCTTTCTGAAGGGAGCAGTAAAAGGTGAGTTGTTGACAACCATAGGTAGAGATGCCAATAATCAAGTCTACCCAATTGCTTGGGCTGTTGTGGATGTTGAGAATAAGGTTAACTGGACATGGTTCCTTGAGCTTCTAAGGGATGATTTAGATCTTGATAGTGGAAGAGGTTTGGTAGTGATATCAGATCAACACAAGGTAAAATTTTACATACTTGTATTCTATTTAATTGCATAATGATCTTATTACATATTTCTCCTCTATTAAACTAATTAAATGATTGTCTTGTAGGGTCTGCTTGAATCTGTGAAAGATATACTGCCTTATGTTGAACACGGGAATTGTGCTAGGCACATTTATGCCAACTTTAGAAAGGCTTTCACAGGTTTGGAATATAAGAAGTTGTTTTGGGCTGCCTCTATGAGTTGCACACAAGGTGACTTCAAGAGGCATATGGAAAGCATCAAGAAATTGAACCCTTCTGCATATGAATACTTGATGTCAAAGCAACCAGAAACATGGTGTAGAGCCTATTTTGGATCAGGCTATGCATGTGAAGCAGTTGAGAATGTGATCTCAGAGTGCTTCAACTCAATAATATTGGATGCTAGGAAAAAACCTTTGATCACCATGCTGGAAGAGATACAGATTTATATCATGGACATGTTTGCTTACATGAATGAGGAAAGTGAAAAGTGGAATTCAAATGTTTGTCCAAATTTTTTGAAAAAAATGAATAGATTTGGGAAAAATATGAGGTATTATTTTATGCATTCTAAAACTTGTCTTAATCATTAATTATTGTTACTAACTAGATACTTGATTATAGGTTATGGGGAATAATTCATAGTCAAGGGCATGTGTTTGAGGCCAGAAGAGGGTGTGACAGTTATAGGGTGGACTTAGATGATATGACCTGTTCATGTAGGCTGTGGGATTTGGCCGGCATCCCTTGTGTGCATGCAAATGCAGCAATTAATTTTATCCATCAAACACCAGATGCATACATCAATGCATACTTCTCTAAAGAGAAATTTAGGCAATGTTACTCAACAAACATTAAACCTGTTAATGGCAACAATCTTTGGGCCCAAACTGAGTACATTAAGCCATTGCCTCCAATGTCTAGGAGGATGCCTGGTAGGCCTGCTACCAAAAGAAAGAGGCATGCGAGTGAAAAGGAGAGCAAGTTTTCAACAATAAAAGTGAAGGTTGCAAGAACTACCAGATGTGGTAATTGTTTGGAATATGGTCATAACAATAGGGCATGTAAGAATGGGAGAAAACAATATGTGCCTCCCCCACTAAAGAAAACAGGAAGGCCAAGAAAACATCCCATCCCCCATGTATCTGTTGCTAACCAATCACTAAATGAGAGAATGAGAGAAAACAATACTACAACCCCTGTTGAACCAAATGTCCCAAGTCAACCTTCATTCTCTAACATAGTGAGGAAGAGTCCAAGAAAACATAACACATTAAGGATGAGTCCAAGAAAACATCAGCAACAGGCATGTTCTAAAAGATTTAGGAAAAATAGTATTAATGTACCTAGGAAGAAGTTGTGCACAAGGAGAGGTGGTGGAAGGATTGGTTCTGCAAAAACTGGGAATAATACTCCAACTATAGGTACTCAAGAGAGTGTGGTTCAACAAGTTCCAGTTGCTGATGAGGGTGAAAATGTGATGCAAGAAGGTTATAATGTGGGTCAAAGTGTGGTTCAACAAGTTCCAGTTGTAGAAGTTCCTACTGTTGTATAAGAAGGTGTGGTGCAGGAAGAAGGTGTTGTGCAGGAAGTTCTAGTAATTCATATTCAGGATGGTCATATGATGCAAGAAGGAGGAACTAGTCAAACAAGTGTGATGGAAGGTAGTGACACTTTTGGGCAAGTAGGATCCAGTATTGGTTGGAAGCTTAAATCCATAAATGATGAAATTGAACAAGGTATTGATGCAATTTTACAAGAAGTTAACTTCAAAAACAAAACAAAGTTCAGTCCACTAAATGGTGACAATGAGGTGGAAGATAATGATGTTATTGAGTTTACTGAGGGCAAAGAGGATGATATTCTCCCAGAGAAAATACAAATATGACCTAAAGACATTGCTAATATGCTAGAAGCTGGTTATAGCATGGCAGAAATAGAAGCTATGCCAGGGTTACAAGTGGAATTGGATGATTCCCCACCAGTTGAACTGGTAAGACCTATTATCTTTTATTAATTAACAATTTTTCTGGTGATTTTTGTGAACTAATTCTATCTTTTTACACTAGGATGTAAATGATTTCATTGATGGTCATCATTCTGATGATGATGTTGGTCTGGATGGTGGAGCTGAAAGTGTTGGAGATGAAGCTATTGGTGATGGTGATGGAGAAGTTCATGGTGCTGGACCTGATCATGGTGTTGGATATGAAGCTGTTGGTGATGGTGATGAAGAAGGTCATGGTGGCGGAGATGTTGATGATGGTGATGGACCTGAAGGTGATGCTGATGGACCTGAAGGTGGTGTTGAAGAATTGGGTGATGATGAGGAAAATCAAGGTGATGATGAAGGACATGAGGTTGTCCCAATGGTTAGGAGAACAAGGAAAACATCTGAGAGGATTACCAAGATAAAGCTAAGGAAGGGTGTCTATGACAAAGATGGTGGTGGTTCTTCTTCTATAAAGCCAATCAACTTAGAGTAGTTTTTTAGCAAGAAGGGGGATGGGGGTGTAGTGGGAATGGTATAGGTTGCCGCTTTTGTAAACTTTGTTTTTTGACATTTTGATTGCAGCATGCATCCAATTGTTATCATTTAGGTTGCCTTTTTTGGCATTGTTTAGGCATTTTGGTACAAATGGATGGCTGCAACATATTGGTAGTATGTAATTAAACTATATGTAATGGATACACCCCCTTTTATATTATGTTCAATCTTTTAGAATTGTTACCATTCACCAATTGTTTCTGCAAATTCATACCAATTACCATTTTAATTAAACTTGTACTACAAATTCATACCAACTACAAATTCATACCAATTACACTTGTAATGGATACATATTGGTAGTATGTAATGTAACATGTACTACAAATTCCAATTGTTACCATTCAACAACTTCTACTCCAAATTCATACCACTTACCATTTTTTGTACTCCAAATTCCATTTACTGAAATTAATCATCCAACATTGCAATTAACATCCATTTACTGCAATACCATTTTATGCAATATACTTACAAAACAAACCAATTTGTACTCCAGTTAACATCCATACATTACAAATTAACATCCATATATTGCAATTAGCATCCATACATTACAAATTACAATCCTAACATTACATATACCTACCAAAGTATCAAATACCATCAAAAGCTACATATTTCATACCATCAAAAACTACATATTTCAAGATCACAATACTAGTGGCATAACAACCAACTGCCATTAAATCTTGTATACTACTAGAACAAGCATGAATAATATAGCCCCTAACAAAACAACAACCATTTGCATTAAGGTCATCATTTGTCGCTGCTCTATAATCCGATTTGACTCTGGCATCATATCTTGTTTTTGAACTCCTTCATCGTCAACCCATCTGAAAAACCCACAACCTCCTTCCCCCTACATAATTAGGTCAGTGCATAATACCCTTACTGCAATCATACTAAAGAAAAGGGAAAATGATTTTTACCTTATAATTAGGGCACCCCCAAAATTTCTTGCCTGGATTTTCTGGTGTGCGTGAAACAAACACAGGGCATAAATCTTCACACCAACACTTCACTTCGATCTTCTTCTTGAATCGTGAATTCACATTTGAGCTTGATTTTGCAGAAGATGTTGGCATTTTGCATGGGAGAATACTGCGGTGCGAGAGGATGCAAGAAACAAAGGGGGGGGGGAAGGGTTATGTGGGAGAGGGTTATAAAATGGGGCCCATGTTGTTTGACATGTCACCTAAAGTGCCAAATCAGCACATGGGTAACCGGCTACTAAGGGTCGAACTTGTTAAATGAGATATTTGATACATTTAGTGAAAGTATCCGACTTTAATACCCCAAAAACTCATCAAAGGGTAAAACCGACATTTTTTGGAAAAATTAAGGGCTTTTATGACAATTTCCCTTCATTTGACACATTTCATTCGGATTTTTTTTTCATATAAGAATAAATCTATGGTACCTCTTTTTCAAAATAAACCTGATAAATGATAATTAAAGAATTGAACCACAATAAAAGTGAAATTATTAATAGATTATAAATAAGAAAAACTAAATTTAAATTGAAACTTTTTCAAAAATATATTATATTTATTTAGGAAACCTAAATGGAGTTGATTAGTACGAAGAAAATCAAATAGTAGAATACAAAAAGTGGGAAAAAAGATTCAAATGTTTAGATTAAGACTTATGATAAAAGTTTTGGGTTTCTTACTACACGTACAGAAAGTGTGGATGCTACTATTCTACTACCAACCAAATTGTAACTATTTTGACTCAGACTCCAACTATTTTTCTCATATTTTTTTCTGTTAATATATAAGAATGTTTATCAAAGTTTAAAAAAAAAGTTCGTTTTTGTTGCCATGTGCCATGGTAGACACCCCCCTCCGGCCTTCCCGGCAGCGAGGTGTCATGCTTCGTTCCGATATCCATTTTTGTTTGTACAAATTGAAGAAAATAAAAAACATAGTTTAATACAAGTGGTGTGATTCATTTTTCATAATGGATTTATAAATTAAATAAAGAAGAAAGTTTTACATAGACGGAGCGGGTAAACGAACAACAAGCTGTTTCACAACCCATTTTTGGATGGACGGTATGGGTGTTGTCCATTCAGCTTCTCTTGCCTCCCCGATTCGGCTCTTCCCTCCCTCGCCTCTATTTTCTAGTCAACCCCGATCTTTCCATCCTGTAGGCATACCTTACAACATATGGTTAGCAAATCTTTGAGTTTTGGTCCCTATCTCTGTTATTATCCCTATGTTTCCCCGTCAAGTTCTTGTAAAATAAAGATTATACCTTGTTTTTTTACATATATATATATTACTTGAAGGACCATTTTTGGAAATCTCCTTAAAATGTCTTCTAGCCGCATCAAATACTTTGACTCTCCCGAGTCCCGAATGCTCCAAAATGCCTTCGGACTCCTGGTACCGCTGACGACGAGCACCTCTTTTATCAAAAGATCTTTCTCTCCCCCTTCTCCCACTAACTCGCTTATGTGAAGGAACAAATCTACCATTTCAACATACCCCATGTAAAGGAGCAACTCTACATTGACCGCTAATACTGGTCTTCGTCGTTGTCTACACTAAAATCACCACCGCCACCTGCACCGAAACACACACACACACACACACACACACACACTCTCTCTCTCTCTCTCTCTCTCTCTCTCTCTTCAAAACAACATAATTATTGTTTTAGTATTGACCGGAAAAAGAAGTGATAGCGAGTGGTGAATGGTAGGGTTGGCCAAAGACTGATGGTGGTTGGTGTCAATGGGAAAAAATGTAAGTGATGGTAGTGGTGATGTAGGGTGGTGCTCGTTAATTAGTTTAATTATAGCAATAATTCTAAAAACAAAAAAAAAAGATAAAATCACAAAAAGACACAACACAAAGACATTTTAGTCATTTCATACACACTTAATGTAATGGTGTTGATGGGAACTAAGATATGGAACAAAACTGGAGGATTTGCCAACCATGAGGATTAATGGTGTCACATTTAAAAAATAGGACTACACTTTCATATTCGTGTTAACCACGTGTTTCATTAATCCAAATCATCCACGGCTAATTCCTCCTATGATCGCAACCGAGAGTAGGTTTTGATTTCTTTTCATGTATTGTATTTTGGATTAAAATGTTGTAGATTCATAAAAACTATAGTTAGATTGCTTTGATTTTAATTTAATTAATCCTTTCATTACCTTGTTTCTAAACTAGTTGATTGATTTAGGTGCAAGATAATTCTAATATGCTCTTCCCCACCGTGCCAAGACATCCCAAGTAGTGTGAAGGACAGAGGGAGCAAATGCATATACTTTAACCACATATTTAAATATCAACTAGTATGGATATGTCTATGTGGTCAAAATGAGCGCAAAAATAGTAACACTTGGTATAATACATTCTTAGGAATCAAAACTGAAATCGTTAGCGGTCACCTTATTTAATATAGATTTCAATCGTTTGTGAGTTTGTTTGTTTTAATATTGTTTTTGATAATGTTTATGGTTTTACCCTTGCATTCAACTTGCTAAATTGGTTGAGTTAAGGTTTACTTTTGACACATCCACGACTACAATAATTTTTTTGGCACCATTATGTGGGAGCTAGTACGCTTCGCGTTTAGTTTTCCTTTTCACTTATTTTTAATATTTCAAAAAAAAAATCTAAATAACCCAAAAAAAGTTTAACAATTCCAATGAAAAATCCAAGTTTTCCAAAAGTTTATAGTTTGTAGAATAAGCTGGTCCCAAAGTTTAAAACTCAACAATATGTGTTAGCAAGCAAAAATGTAGCAATAAATAATAAAACATAAGTATAAATGGTTCATTACATAATTATATGTCTTCAAAAAATCCTTGCTTCTCTAACTCCGGTCTTCAACATCAAATATTATATGATTGCATATCAAAATACAAGTGTTAGGCTTATAAAGCCTAATGAGTAAGCATACTGACGATCAACTTCTTCAAATGTAAATGATGAGAGTGATCATCGAATCCCAAATTTAAACCCTAAAAATAGTTTCCAAAACATTAAATGATCATTAGCATCTCAACTTAAGGAAGAATAATAGTTTAAACAAATAAATCATAATAATAATTCAAAACAACACCAACAAATGGAAGTATGCAATACATATGGAACTATTCACAATCCTCGTTTTATCCTACAGTTCCAACTCACCAAATATGGCTATAACGACCATATATGGAGAAAACATGTATCACACTCCACACTCTATCCTCTAGACCCATGTGCATAAATCACATTTTTGCCCACCCTTAGGTTCTAGGAAGCCATCTCATAGAACCACAAAAGGGTTGCAAGTCCTTGTTGTTGGGTTTTTATTAAAAAAAA